TGTTCAGCATCTTAGCTGTAGAGGGCAGTGTCACTGGCCCTCATATGTGGGATCCAAACTGGGGCCCTCTGGCGTCCCAAGCCAGCTCTTAACCACCAGGCCACTCGGCCGGCCCGCTTATGCATTAAACTTAAAGAAACTCTTTCTCAGATGAATAAATGGTTTGTGGATATGGAAGCCATTAACTTGCTATTTAGCATGTTAAAGTTGTAATCAGATCCAGCAAAAGATATTTAGGTATTTAGAGCCAACTGAAGAAGCCTACTGTTCCAAAAACATGCATTCCAAGCCTTTCTTGTCAATGGAAAAGTAGGTATCAAATATTTACTATGAACCCAAGTCTGTTGGGGAGGCGACAGAGATTTAAGATATGAGCACTGCCCTTCTGGGGCTTACATCCTAATGGGGGACATAGAAAGATACCTTACTTGATAAACAAAACTAGCTTGTGAGATAAGGAACTCAGGTTCAGAGAACTTAAGTAATTTGCCCAAAGTCACATACTAGTATGTGGCAAGGTCAGGATTTAAACCCATTAATTGCAAAATCTATACATTTCTTTGTACAACACATGGGACAAGATAGACAAAGAAAAAGTAACACTTCAGCAGTAAAATATAGAGAACATACTATAAGTTCAAGAAGAATTCAGAGAAGGGTAACCTGAATCCAAGATGGATCTTAATCAGTCTGTTTTCCTCCTGAAGGATTTAATACCTAAGGTGAGTCTTGTAGATTGTCTAATTAGAGAAAAAGAAAGATAATGAATAACCTTGTCTCTGAGTCTTCCTTCATTTTTAAAACAGGGATGATGCCATTACCCCCACAGTACCATTGCTAGCATTGACCAAGATCACATATGTAAAAGTATTTAGTAAATTAAAAAGCATTAAACAATGTAAACTATTATTACTTGCTAAAGTATAAAAGTGTGATGCATGTGATGTGTGTACATAGAGCTGACAGTGAGGATATTATTTTAAGGATGGATGGCTCTCCCATTACCACCAACTCAGAGGATTATAAAATCTCTGAATGGGGAGGAAACCTCAAAGGTCATCTGATCTAACTCCCATCTGGTGCTTGTTAAAAAGGAACCTGGAGTAGAAAAAGGTCTATTGTCTCTTAAGAGAATTTATCTGCATCTTGATATAGTCATTTCCCTCCCAAATTCTATTAATTTTAGACAGTAGTGCTGCATATTTTTTTATCAATCTTATAAGTTGACGTGAATTCACCTTTTCTTTTACTTTTAACGTTTTTAATAATATTGATTGAAGTAAAAGTGTTATATTTATTTCAATG